CGGGGGGACACCCACCAGCCGCAGCTTGCTGTGCACGTTGAACTCCCACCAGTAGAGGTGGTAGATGTAGAAGGAGAAGTCGTCGTCGCCGCTGCTGCTCGTGTAGGACAGGACGTAGCGGCCGCACTTGGAAAAGCCCAGGAAAATGTGCCTGGAGCGGGAGCGAGAGCTGGGGGGGGTGCCGGAGATCCCGGAGATCCCGGGGTTCCCAGAGTGGGAGGGGGGTGTCAGCATTCCCAGAGATCCCAGTGTTCCTGGGCTTGGGATGGGGGAAACTGGCATTCCCAGAGATCCTGGTGTTCCCAGGGTGCTGGTGGAGGATGCTAGCATTCCCAGAGATCTTGGTGTTCCCAGCATGGGAAAAGGGGGAAGCCAGCATTCCTGGACATCCTGGTGTTCCCAGGGTGGGGAAAAGGGGGAAGCCAGCATTCCCAGAGATCCTGCTGATCCCAGGGTGGTGGTGGGGAGGAGATGCCGGCATTCCCGAAAATCCCAGTGTTCCGGGAGCAGGGCAGGGGGACCTCCACCATTCCCACAGATCCTGGTGATCCCAGGGTGGTGGTGGAGAAGGGATGCCGGCATTCCCAGAAATCCTGGTGTTCCCAGGGTGGTAGTGCGGAGGGGATGCCGGCATTCCCAGAGATCCTGATGATCCCAGGGTGGTGGTGGGGAGGAGATGCCGGCATTCCCGGAAATCCCAGTGTTCCAGAAGCAGGGCAGGGGGACCTCCACCATTCCGAGAAATCCTGGTTATCCCAGAGTGGTGGTGGGGAGGGAACGCCGGCATTCCCGGAGATCCTGGTGTTCCCAGGGTGGTAGTGCAGAGGGGATGCCGGCATTCCCAGAGATCCTGGTGTTCCCAGGGTGGTGGTGGGAAGGGGATGCCGGCATTCCCGGAAATCCCAGTGTTCCAGAAGCAGGGCAGGGGGACCTCCACCATTCCCACAGATCCTGGTGATCCCAGGGTGGTGGTGGAGAAGGGATGCCGGCATTCCCAGAAATCCTGGTGTTCCCAGGGTGGTAGTGCGGAGGGGATGCCGGCATTCCCAGAGATCCTGATGATCCCAGGGTGGTGGTGGGGAGGAGATGCCGGCATTCCCGAAAATCCCAGTGTTCCAGAAGCAGGGCAGGGGGACCTCCACCATTCCGAGAAATCCTGGTTATCCCAGAGTGGTGGTGGGGAGGGAACGCCGGCATTCCCGGAGATCCTGGTGTTCCCAGGGTGGTAGTGCAGAGGGGATGCCGGCATTCCCAGAGATCCTGGTGTTCCCAGGGTGGTGGTGGGAAGGGGATGCCGGCATTCCCGGAAATCCCAGTGTTCCAGAAGCAGGGCAGGGGGACCTCCACCATTCCCACAGATCCTGGTGATCCCAGGGTGGTGGTGGAGAAGGGATGCCGGCATTCCCAGAAATCCTGGTGTTCCCAGGGTGGTAGTGCGGAGGGGATGCCGGCATTCCCAGAGATCCTGATGATCCCAGGGTGGTGGTGGGGAGGAGATGCCGGCATTCCCGAAAATCCCAGTGTTCCAGAAGCAGGGCAGGGGGACCTCCACCATTCCGAGAAATCCTGGTTATCCCAGAGTGGTGGTGGGGAGGGAACGCCGGCATTCCCGGAGATCCTGGTGTTCCCAGGGTGGTAGTGCAGAGGGGATGCCGGCATTCCCAGAGATCCTGGTGTTCCCAGGGTGGTGGTGGGAAGGGGATGCCGGCATTCCCGGAAATCCCAGTGTTCCAGAAGCAGGGCAGGGGGACCTCCACCATTCCCACAGATCCTGGTGATCCCAGGGTGGTGGTGGAGAAGGGATGCCGGCATTCCCAGAAATCCTGGTGTTCCCAGGGTGGTAGTGCGGAGGGGATGCCGGCATTCCCAGAGATCCTGATGATCCCAGGGTGGTGGTGGGGAGGAGATGCCGGCATTCCCGAAAATCCCAGTGTTCCAGAAGCAGGGCAGGGGGACCTCCACCATTCCGAGAAATCCTGGTTATCCCAGAGTGGTGGTGGGGAGGGAACGCCGGCATTCCCGGAGATCCTGGTGTTCCCAGGGTGGTAGTGCAGAGGGGATGCCGGCATTCCCAGAGATCCTGGTGTTCCCAGGGTGGTGGTGGGAAGGGGATGCCGGCATTCCCGGAAATCCCAGTGTTCCAGAAGCAGGGCAGGGGGACCTCCACCATTCCCACAGATCCTGGTGATCCCAGGGTGGTGGTGGAGAAGGGATGCCGGCATTCCCAGAAATCCTGGTGTCCCGGCCCCGGGGGAGTGGGCGGGCCCCCCGAGGGGCCTGGCGGGAGGCGTTGCCGGGGCAACCGAGGGGACGTTGCCAGGGCGACCGTCGCTAGGCCCGGGCCAGGCCTGGGACCTGTCACCAGGCCCGGATGTGTCACCCACACGGGGCTGTAGCCAGGCTGGAAGGGTGTCACCCAGCTGGGGACCACCCTCACACCGGGGACATGTCACCAAGCACCTGTCACCAGCAGGCTGGGGACGATGGGGGCCACCGCCACTGGCCTAGAGCTCTGTCACCAGGGCCACCATGAGGTCCCCATGGGCCTGGGGATCAAGAGGAGGCCGGGAAGCTGCCACCACGGGAGGGAGAACCATCAATTTGGGGCCCCCAGGACAGCCACCATGCCCAGAGAGGTGGCACCAGACCAGGGACACGCCACAGATCTGGTGATGCCACCAAGGCAGGGGGACTTCCAGCCTGGAGCTCCCACGGTTATGGGGACAACCATGAAAACAGGTGGCCACGAAGGGAGAACCATAGCAAGGCCCAGGGTGACCCTGTCACCGCTGTTCCCACACCCTTGGGGACAGCCCAGACATTTAGGAGCACCCCGTGCACAGGGAGAAGTCAAATGTGCCCCCAAAAAGCCCAAATTCTTCATAGAAATTTTATAATTTGTCTCTGAAAGCTCTGGAGAACCCGGGGAGGGGAAGCGGCGCCGGCTGCCGCGGCGGCTCCAGGGCCGGAGCCCAGCCCGGAGCCAGGCACTTAGAGCGGAGCCGGCACTTTGGTCCAGGGTCCAGCTCCCGGGATGGGGACGAGCGGGATCCGGATTCGGCCCCGGCGCGCAGGGACACGTGCAAAGCGCGCGGGACCGGCTCCGGCGGCGGGATCAGGTCGGGGAGGGAGGGAATAGCAGCGCTGATCCCGCCGGATCGTGGAGGGGTGACGCTGGGACGGAGGCTCCCGCCGGGTGATTG